TCGCCAGTTTTGGCCATCGGCGTCCGTGGAGCTCGCAGTCACGTCAGATTGACATGACGGTCCAAGGTTCCTCTCCACCCAATGTGCCGCGAGGGGAACCTTGCTTCTCCCGGCCTTCTCCTTGCAAGCTCACAGCTTCACTCTCGTCGCTCGAGGTCCGCTCCCTGTTGTTCATAGGTAGAGCTAAGGGTCAGCACAGCGCACACACACTCTCACACTCACACACTTTCTCTCTCGAAGCACGGAAGCTGTGAGCGCAATGGCTGAGGCAATAGCAATGGCGTGTTCCGAGCCCGCCCTTTCCGTTGCTGATTCGTCCCGTCCCCCGTGGAACCAGAAGCGTTCCCTCCCCCCCAGTGTCTCCTGCCTCCCAACCCCATGTTTCTTCTGTGCGATGACTTGCTGTGTGGTTGCAGCAAGGCCCAGCCGGTGAGGAGCAGGAGCTCTGCCGAGTCCCATGCTCCGACGCCAACCTCACCTCTTCTCTTCTTCCCTCTCTTCCTTTCGTCTTTCCTCCTGCCACAAACTTCACCCTCTATTCTTCAGCTTTCTCATCTCCAATCGGCATCACCACAGCCATTTCCATCATCTACTACTTTCATAAATTCTCGAATTCGGCCATTGAGCCCTTCCCCACCACCGACTGCCACATCTCTGATTGCGCACTGTGCGCCCACCGGATACCCGTTACGTCATCGCAATGGACCCCAATCCCGTTCCTGGAGCTGTCCCATCCGCAGCTGGCATCGACAAAGGTGAGCAAGAGATGTTGTGAGGTTCCAGCGGTGTCGCGTCGCCTCTGTACAGCGGTGCTGATGTATGCGCCCTGTGTCGGCTCATCATCTCTTGGTGTACCGGCGCATCGCATCTCCCCGCGCCTACACTCACGCTCGGACCTTCTTGCGCTGACATTCTTTCCCTTGTACAGCTCCCGAGACTGTCGCAACCACCACCGCCATTACCGCCGCAGATGAGAAACCCACAGAGACTGTAGCTTCGGAGACGAAGCCAGTCGAAGAGAAGAAGGCCGAGGTCGCACCAGTCGCAGAGATAGCAGCTAGTGAGCCTACCGAGCCCGCCAAACTTGCGGACCCTCCTGCACTGGCCCCACCAGCCGATGCGCCAGCTGCACCAGCTGCGGCTGAAGCTACCGCCGATGCGCCCAAGCCGGCTTCCGTCGAGGAGATTCCCGACAAAGACGGCCCCGTTGCGACGACTGGAACCGAGGAGGCCAAGGTCATCCCCGATGAACAGCCTGCGGAGAAGACGACTGCAACCTCTGCACCTGTTGCCGAGCCCGTCAAGGAATCCGTCGAAGAGCCTATCCCGCAACAGATACTCAAGGCACCCGCGGTTGAGGAAGAGGCAGTCAAGGAACCAATCATCGAGAAGCCCGAAGCCGCCAATGGTGCTGCCACCAAGGATGTCGAGATGACCGGTGCCCTTAACGACGCCGAGCCCACCGGTACTGGAGAGCGCGAGGCCGCGCCGCAGGCCAAGACAAGCAACAAGCGCAAGGCGGACGAGCTAACCGAGATCAATGGTACCAACGGCACCAACGGTGCTAATGGTGTCGAAGCTGTCGAGGCTGCTCCGGAGGAAAAGCCCGCAGAGAAGAAGGCCAAAAGAGGCCCTGGACGACCCCCTTCCAATGGCGCTGCGAAGCCAGTCAAGGAGAGTCCCAAGAAGGAGAAGGAATCTTTTGGCCACAAGGTCGCCAGCAAGGTCAAAAAGGTTCTGCACTCCCCCGGTCGAACTGAGCGCAAGACTCGCTCTCAAGGACCCGTCTAAACCAGGCCACGCAGTGAGCCGGATGCTTCTGAGGCACGTATCTGTACCGCCTCGGATTTCCTTGGATGTCAAAGAGTCCCACAGACTACTCTAGCAACAACGAGACCATGATGGTCGAGGCTTGGGTTTGGACCAGCCGGGCGGGCGTCTCTCTTTTCACCCCGCGGATTTATGATGGGTAGGCAAAAAGGAGGCGCGGGTTTTTGTTTCTGCTTTTTTACCTTTTTGTCATTGTAGCTCAGGTCGTCGTCGTATCGAGACTGAGTAGTAGGAAACTAGGATACTGTATATACTAGGACGCTTGCACATTCAGTCTACCAGTCTCGTCGTGGTCTTTCTTATGCAACGGGTGATGGCAGAGCAAGGTCGATGGACGATTCGACTCAGAAACACGGGCAGTCGAGAATTGTGAGGCAATCATGGCATTTGCCGAGAACTTTTGTTTACTTGCTTCCGTGTCCTCGCTCTGATGGTCATCAAGAACGACAAGTGACAATCAACAGGTCAACAGCAGACATGTGAGATCAAGTGACGAGGGTGCAATGCCGAGTCGGAAGTCTGACTATTTCAATCGTGAGCGAGCCCATCGAACCAATACTTGTCGATTAGAACGTGCCTTGAGGCTCAGAGGCGCAGGCAAGAATTTGCCTGATGGCTGGGTAGGACCCTTGAACCAAGATATCATGGATTCTGATAACTCGATGGTTTACTTGACACTTGAACGTCGATGGTGCAAGGTGACGGGGCCTCGAATGATGTATCAACCCTTTCTGAACGCCCTTGTGAATTTTATGGATAAGCTGATATGATGGTCGCTGCGTTCTCAACGCGTATCTCTAGCTTAGGGGGAAGTCGTGATATCTACAAAAAATACCTCACGCACCCACGCATAGGCACCCTAGGGTTAGGTTTTGTACATCTCGATCGCCTACATATCGGACTGCTAGCAGCAGTGCTCCGAGTCGGAAGCAACTTGTGGAACTTGCGCCAAAGTCTTTTGGATACTCGAACGCTGTCCGAGTCACAGATACGGAATAGCTTCTGATCATCTGTTTGACCGAATCAATGGAGCAAAGAGGTGAGATGACGTCTACAGGATACGCGGGGGTTTCGACTCGGGGCGAGAAAAGGCTCCTTTCGAAGCGGTCCAGACCGTGACGGGAGCAGTGGGTTTCTCCACCCACCGCGTCACCCCGAAAGTCAAGGGTTTGTCGATCAATTCGTTGTCGACTTACGTGGGTGCGGGTTTAGGGGGGGCGTGGCAGAGAAGGAGAAGCTGCAAGCACACGCGATGTGTCTTTTCTCTTTTTTTTTTTTTTTTTTTTTTTTTTTTGGTCTGTTGCCCTCTGGCTTGGATCACCTTCTGTCCGCGTACTTTCAGCCCTTTTGAGGGTTCACATCACTCAGGAACAGGCTGTGCCGGAATGAAGGATGTTTGAGAAGCTTCGGGAGATGGGGAATGGGAACTGGGCGTACTCGGCGTGTCTCTCTTACAAGCCGAGGATGGAGGGGCGCGTGTGTGCGGTTATGTGTGACGACAAACGTCTTTCTTACGCAGTCAGAAGAAAGAGACAATTGGGAGAAACATCACGTCCATCTGGGTACAACAAAACAGGGGACCAACACCGTGAGGAATGTGCGCCTTCAGCCTCAGACCCAGGCGTGCGTGCGTGCGAGTGTGTGTGTGTGCGAATGTTTACTTGCGGTAATCCAAATTGGGAAAACAAGTAAACAATGAGGGAGCATGGACACGGACGCTAAGCGGTTTCGAGGAAAACGCAGAGATGGCGGTGGCGTTGCGCTGTGTTTGGTACCTGACTCTGCGCCTTTTTCGTGTGTCCATTGGGTATGGAAAGTGTGAGGCGGACGGTGAGGTCTCTCAACATGTTTTACAGTTCAAACGGTACGGCGTCGTGGCGGCGGTGGGAAAGCGCACGGAAAAGGTTGCAAATGGTATAGGTAGAGGCCGCCGTCGCTTTGGGGGGGGGGGGGCGATGAAGCTCTGTGACGTAGGGGATCGATCTGGGTCTTACTGCGTAGGTAGGTAGGGTCTTGTGCAACAAAGAAAAAACGGGCCGGTTGGGAACGACGTAGATGGGATCTGGGCTTCTTCCGTTTTCGTGAGCGGGCAGAGGGACGCTGGCTTAAGGTAGCTTAGCTTCCTTTTGCATTTGTTCTGGAAAAGGCGGCGGGAGTCGCGGGAGGGGAACATCGGTGGTCTTGGCGATGGAGGGGGATTGGGGTGGACGGCTTACCTCATTTCAGCTTGACTGTCAAGCCTCGGCGGAGTTTGGTTCGTCTGTGAGGTTGAGAGTCTTCAGTTACAGACTTGCGATGGTACGAGATAAGGTGTCATCATGTTCAGGAACAGAACACCCAGATGTTGTGAAAGGTGTGTGTGGATTAGACTGATAGGGTGAAAGGGTTGAAGCAGAAAGAATAAGGAATGCTTATTTCTCATGTCATGCATCATCCCCCGAGGAGCAGGGTGGCTGAGCAGCATGTAAAGAAATGCTCCGATTGAGGGAGTTCCTCTCGCTATTCTAGAGTCTATCCATCTATGATAGCGATCCCTCCGTGGTGGTGCATGGTGTATGCTCCTCGCTTACCTTACTCACCGGTCGATTCCTTGATGCTTAATCACCGCGCCTATTGAAGTGGTAATATGACAGCGAATTCAATCTTCTTCATCAGATGTTCAGAACCCCCATCTTCTGTTCCGTCTCTCCACAAATGACCAAACCTCCCCAACTTCCCAGAGCCCCCCAAAAGGACCTCCCCTCAATGCACAGCCCTGTCGGCGAGTCGCTGCTGGGGTCTTGCCTGTCATGTGAACCCTCTTTACTGCGTAGTCTACTCCGTAAGGACCACTATAAACTTGTACGCAGCAAAAGGTTGGAAACGACTTCCCTTTCGGCATTGGGTCCTGCGGGGACACTTTGTTCCCCCTTTTTCACTTAACCTGACACGGGGGGCGCAAGGTGTATCCGTACGCTCGAGCACGGGATAGTAATCCGTGCCGTTGTCTGTAAAGAAGAGGGTTATTGTGAGAAGAAGAAAAAAAAAATCCATCAAGAGGAATCATGATGCTGGAAACGGAGGAAGAAACGGAACGAATTTGGCGCAGTGCAGTAAACGTCTAGAACTCTTTCGGGATAAACTGCGGCATCAAACTTTTCTCCCATGTGGAATGATGGCATTTCTCGCCTCTAGCGCGGGACCAGAGGAGGCTTGCTGCACATCTCGGATGCCACACGCGAGCAAAGACCCTTTTCCTCGATATGTATTTGCATTCTTCCAGGTACAGATCTTCCAGTCCTCCGTACTGCTTGAGCATTTCGGCCGTGTACAGAAAGCCGATGGGAACAGGAGCCCTTAATCGGCCGGATACGTGATATCCCGACCTGCATAAGATGAAGAATGGTATCCGTATGAAAGGTATGAAAGGACTTTGTTGAATGGGCCTCGTATTCATCGACCACCAATCCATCCCCTTCTTGCCGCGAAGAGCCTAGCATTCCTTGGGGATCGTCTGCCACTACACAAAAAGGGTGCAGGGCCACAGGGCGTGTGATGTGGGTGAGTGGGACACACATTCGAGGTGTCAAAAATAGCCACAGCCACAGCGAGCGGCGGCGCTGCCGATGCGCTACAGCGCTACTACGCGGTATGCAAAGCGTTCCCGTGCTTCTGGGGGGGGGGGGGGTCCATGCTGCTCTGGGCTCTTCCATTGAAGCCAAGCGGCGGCACGGCATCTCGCTGGTGCTGTGGACGGAGTGCTTTGTACAGTAGTGGTGGGTGTCCCGAGCTCTGACAGAGGGAGAGAATTTTGGATGGCAGTTTTTAGGGTATTCTGCCCAATGAGGTCGTCCGATGCTCCGTCTTCTATGCGATTCCGTCCACGAGACTGAGGAACGACACCTGGCTGGAGGTGCTGGTTTGTGTACGTACCGAGGCTGGATACCCTACTACGTACCTCATGTTCTTCCAACTGGGCGTTGCATGTTCCTGCAGATGCTGACATGTAAAGACATGCATTGTACACGGAAAACTGCCATCGTGAGATGTATTCTAGAATACGAAAATCTCACATTCAATAGTAGACTTACTTAACAACCCCAGAATCCCATCCAACGTAAGGTGAGCAGACAGGAAGCAAATAGCCACAATGTCAAGTGGAAGAGTGAATGACTTGAGCAGCAGGTACACAAAAGGATACGTACCGCATCCCTCAACCTGGTAGTGGTGGGTCGGGTAGAGTGGGTCTCAAGCCTCGAGACCCTATTAGCGCAAGAATTGCAAGGACCTGAGGCGAACCAATCCCCTTGGCCGTGTTTCTTTACGTATGCATTTTTATGATATTTTTTAATGCTGTGTTTTTTTTTTTTCTCTTTCCAAGGTACGGAGTAAGGTGCCGCAGCTACCTATCCGTACCTAGTAACACTGCGCAGTATGTATGTATGTGAATGAGTTTTTCCTGGGCTGCCAACCGCACTCCTCCAGCGATGGACCCGGATATCGGCGCACCCACCGACTGGGATGTTCCAGGAGTGACATACGCAATCCTCCAGGCTCAACAAGCTTCCTCTCCAGTGGTCTTTCCTTCTCGCTGTTCTCCTCCACGCCTCTCCACCTTTCCCATCCCTCCTTCATCCCATCCGTCCCCTACTCCTACCGTAAGGTACATAGCAGTCCTTCACTGTCTCTTCACCATCCCTCCGTGTCGTGCCGTAACCTAAACTCCGTCCTACATACGCTCGCTTCAAGGCCGACTTCCCCTCGCTTTTCCCAACTCTTCCCTCCTCCTCCTCCTCCCCCCAATCCCGCGATCCCGCCGACCCTCCGCCAGTCGTTCCAATCTCCCCATCGTCTCCCTCTCTTCGCGCCGCTTCGACGACATCTGTGGCTCCACTGATTGTCCCATTCGAACCCTCCCGTTGCTCGCGTGCCTGGGAACCAGCTGCTCCTTTCAAGGGCCCTTTTGACGATCTCTTCTCTCCCCGACTCTCGCTACAGCAAACCACGTCATCCATCTGATTTCAGGCCTCTTTGCTCACTTCCCAGCGGTCTTTGTGCGCCCGGTAACATTGCACGGCGACCCAACCCGAAAACAATTCTTTGCGACGAACAACCAGTAGAAGCCCCCGTTGAACAAGCTCCTGTGCCATCGTCCTGAATCCAAATCACCCACTCGACTAGCCGATCGAGTTTCTCCCTCGACCACCATTTTTCGAAGATTTGGTGCAAAGATAACATCAACAACCAGATCTCTCGCTGCCCTCTTCCTCGCCGAGGCCAACTAGAGACGCGACTCGCCCCCCTCGCCCCAAGGGGCCTCAACCTTCAAGATGAGCACCGACGCCGGAAAAGAGCTGTTGGACTTGCTGAAGAACCCCTTCAGTTCTCAGGTCTGTAAACCCTCCATCACCACTGAGCTTTTGACAATTCGCGCTGGATGCTGACTGCCATATAGCTCGCCAAGAACTCAGTCTGGGCTGCTCTGGGCACCTCACTCGGTGTCACTGTCGGTATCGCCGTCACCTTCTCCTTTCTTCGACCGTACAATCAGTCCGTTTATGCGCCCAAGTTGAAGCATGCCGACGAGAAACATGCTCCGCCGCCCATCGGCAAGAAGATCTGGTCCTGGATCCCGCCACTATGGAATACGACCGAGGATGAGCTGGTGCACCACGTCGGCATGGACGCCACCGTCTTCCTCCGCTTCGTTCGCATGTGCTTATACATCTTCGCGACCATCTCTGTGTTTGGCCTTGGAATCCTCATTCCCACCTACCTCAGCACTGCAGAGAGCAGTTCGACCAAGGATAGATCCTGGATCGACTTGATTACTCCCATTGCAGTATGGGGCAATGCGTACTGGGCACAAGTCGCAGTTGCGTATATCATCACCTTTGTTGTTATGGGCTTCTTGTGGTGGAACTACCGCAAGGTCTTGCGCCTCCGACGCAAGTATTTCGAGAGCGAGGAGTACCAAAACAGTTTGCACGCCCGGACCCTCATGGTAAGATTGGTTTTCGGATGACGTACTACTGGGAGCTTCAAACTGACCCTAGTAGATGTATGATATTCCCAAAGCCAAATGCTCCGACGAAGGCATTGCGACCATCATCGACGAAGTTGTGCCGGCCTCATCCTTCTCTCGCACCGCCATCGCCCGTAACGTCAGGGAACTCCCCAAGCTGATCGAGCAACATGACCATACCGTTCGCAAGTTGGAGGTGGTACTGGCAAAGTATATGAAGAAACCCGACCAACTCCCGGCTGCCAGACCAATGTGCAAGCCCTCCAAGAAGGACCCGTCTTTCGCGACGTATCCCAAGGGACAGAAGGTCGACGCTATCGAATACCTGACACAGCGCATCAAGGAGCTCGAACTGTTGATCAAGGAGGTTCGACAGAGTGTTGACAAGCGAAGCACCATGCCCTATGGCTTTGCCAGTTACGCAGATATTGCAGAGGCGCACAACATTGCCTACGCCAGCCGCAAGAAGCACCCGCACGGCGCAACAATCACCATGGCCCCGCGCCCGAACGATATTCTGTGGGATAACCTGGTCCTGACGCCCTCGATTCGTCGCACAAAGCGTATTGTGAACAACCTCTGGATCGCGTTGCTTACCATTGTCTGGATCGCTCCCAACGCCATGATCGCCATCTTCCTCATCGACCTCAACAACCTCGGTAAGGTCTGGCCCGCTTTCCAGACGGAACTTCAAACCAATCCCGAATGGTGGTCCATTGTCCAAGGTATCGCATCTCCTGGTTTGATGTCGCTGGTCTACCTCGTCCTGCCCATGATCTTCCGTCGACTCTCGATGAAAGCTGGAGATCAGACCAAGACGGGTCGTGAGAGGCACGTTTTGGCCAAGTTGTACGCTTTCTTCGTGTTCAACAACTTGATCGTGTTCTCGCTCTTCAGCACCGTTTGGTCGCTTGTGTCGGCTATTGTGAGCGAGACCAGCGAAAAGAGCGTCGACGCCTGGCAGGCCATTATCGATCAAAACTTGGCAACCACCATCTTCACGGCGCTTTGCTCAGTCAGTCCCTTCTGGGTCACTTGGCTCCTCCAGCGCAACCTTGGTGCTGCCATCGATCTCGCCCAGCTTTGGAAACTCATCTACAGCTTCTTCGTGCGCAAATTCTCGAGCCCGACGCCCAGAGAGCTCATTGAGCTTACGGCACCTCCCACCTTTGAGTACGCCTCTTACTACAACTACTTCCTCTACTACGCGACAGTTGCACTGGGTTTCTCTGGCATCCAGCCCTTGGTTCTTCCTGCCGCCGCGTTGTACTACGGAATCGACTACTGGCTCAAGAAGTACCTCTTGCTCTACATCTTCGTCACCAAGACTGAGTCTGGAGGTATGTTCTGGCGCGTGCTCTTCAACCGAATGCTCTTCGCCGTCTTTCTATCCAACTGCGTCTTCTTCCTCAGCTCATGGGCGCGAGCCGACTGGGCCTACCATAGCCAGGCCTTCGCCATTATCCCTCTGCCCATTTGCTTGATCATCTTCAAGGTCGTCTGCTCCCGATTGTACGACGACAAGATCCATTACCTCTCGACCACCAACGTTGCCAAGCACCCCGAGGCTGGCGTGATGAAGGAAACTCGCCTTCGCAGTGAGCGCTTGGCTTCGCGTTTCGGCCACCCGGCCTTGTACAAGCCTCTCATCACTCCGATGGTGCATCAGAAGGCCCAGCCTTACTTACATGTCGTATACAAGGGTCGCCTTTCGGACGGAAGAGATGTCAACACTGGCGACATGATGAGTGTTTCTGGATACTCGGACGTGTACGCGTTGGATCCCATGAAGTCTGGCAAGCCTGGCAAGTCGGCCGGTATTCCCGGTTTCGAGTTCGTTTCCGAGTCCAACCTGGATTTCGAATTCTACAAGAACAGAGCGGAATTCGCAGAGGAGCATGGCCAAGGCGACATCTTTGGAAGGGATCCTGACATCATGCGCCCCGGCACCCCTGGATCAATGTCCGATTTCGGCTCTCGCCCCGGAACGCCCACGAATGCTGCTTTGCAGGGCGGCATGACAGGTCAGCGCCGCGACATGTCCGGTTCTAGGCCTACTCCGCCTGCCGGGTACATGTCGCCAACTGGAAGCGGCCGTCAGTCCCCTACCATGGGGCCGCCCCAAGCTGGCTTCGCTCAACAAGCGACCATGGGCGAGCGGTCCCGTAGCCCCCTGTACACCATCAACAGCAACGGCAGCGACACGGCGCTCGTGAGAAATGCCGCAGGTATGCCGATGAGCGCACCCACGGGTGGACCGAGTGTTGGCGCCCTGGGCGGCGGACCGAGGGGGTATAGTGGACTTCCTCAGGCTGACGCCGAGACGCCCGACCCAGACCCGACCCAATACGACTACTTCCGTGGGTCAGCAAGGCGGCGCCAAAACGACCAATGGTAGTTGACTGAGAAGGTGTCATGATTGGTTTTCAATTTTCTTTTTGTGTTGTGAGCGATGGTAGAGCGAAGGGTTGCCTCGCGGTCCGGGATCTGGTCTCCATGTGATGGCATTGCATTCTCGGCGTTGATTTGAGAGAGGGGGGAGCCCGAAGAGAGGTTCTTCCATGGGTGGACTGCGGGCTGTGAGCAACAGGATCCCTCGTCATCTCGACCGGGCCCTGTTTGTACTTTTTTCCTTATTCATCAAAATGGTAATGATCAAAGAGACGAGACATAGACTGAAGATTTGCGTGGGACGATGGTACATAACGGTGCTCTCCCTCGAGCAATTGTTTCCCCTGGCGCGAAGCTGGTAGGAAACAGATTATAGATTTAATGAGTAACCCTTCCGCATTTCTTGTTCATGACTTGTTTGGTTCCCATTGGTTTAGATGTGACTCCCTAGTTAGATACCTGTTGATCCTTTCATCTGTCGCGGGGCAGTGTAGCCGTACCACATATTGATCCCAACACCTTTCATTTCTATTATCATTACTTTGGTTTTCTGTCTGAGGATACTTCATCTCGACGGTATAATCGTCTAG